TTCGTCATTTTGAAAATTTTGAGGCTTAGGTTTCGTCTTTCGTCATCAAGCATAAAAGGTTTCGTCTAACAACTATAGTTCCGCCCTTTCCGCACATTAATTTTAAACACTGCATGATCATGATGGAAAGTGAGTGATTGGTCAAGCTGGCCAGAACGGCAGAGACATCCCGAGAAAGAAGCAATTGTAATTGTGCCGGGAGTCGCCGTAGGATTAGCCGGTGGGGCCATTCCCGCCTGCCGAAGCAAGCCAGCTGTCAGTGAAGGAATGATGGAATTACGTGATCATTTTTTGGGTGGGTGCCAAAATCATATGCTTTGCTATCTTCTTCAGATTTGGCTTTGTTTTACGCCAGGCATGTGCTTTGTCATTGTCATCCATTTTCGTCCTCGGTCTTCCCACGCCCGTGTTCTTACTTTAGTAGCTAGCTTCTGATTATCCTCACATCCGGTTCCTACCTGTTATGTCGTCGCCTGTAGCAGTATTGTGGGGCATTGAGTCGTGTGGTCGCTCTGCTTTTTGATCACGTGATCTGTCAATCACGATACTGTAGTATGTTCTCTATTGAAACCATAGTATAAAAATTTATCGTAATGTGCCTTAGTAAAAAAGTGTAGTAATGACTAAAACTAAACTTTATTCAACTTTATTTATCTCTAATTATATAAAGTAGGGTGAATACTGTAATTTAGTACCAAAAGTATATTATAGTAAAAAACAAAAAGATTTATCTTCAAGGTAAACTTCTCCAGGTTTTGATTAAATAGACTAGCCAGTGATAAAATATGCTATTACTAAATTAATGTGTGTTTGGAGCCTGCTATATCATTGCCACGAGATGCTGATGCTAATGATTGAGTACGTACTTCAATTGAATTTATGCTTTTTGTCTAACTCTAATATATATAGTGTAGAATTCCTTGGTAGTAGTGAAGGGATATACTGTGTAAGTTTTATAAAATTTGCTACGACAATTTACCGAACTATGATTTTAAATAGTAAAAATTATTATTAAGGGTGCTGACATTATCGCTCTTTTCGATTTAGTTGGATCGATGATTTTTTTGTTAGTGAGTTCCATGAATCCGTAAGTTTCATATTTGCATATACCTTGCATATAACTAATTGTTAACTGTCTATTATGTTATGACAATAAACAACTAACGATTACAAATAATTATTATATGCAGGCATATGCATATACGAGACCACGGATTCATGGAACTCACTGACAAAAAAAAAAAACTGCAAAATTCATCGATCCAACTAAATCGAAAAGAGCGATAATTACGTAATTTTTATCTTAACTGTTAATAATAAGAACGTAAGAAATTTATATATTAGAGGGGTAAGCCTCTATAGTAAATGGAAATTACGTAATTAATGCCAGCGCCCTAACTTAATTAAAAAGTTTTAACCGTATCAAATTTATTTTTATTTTTTTTGTCTTTACAACTTTACAAAAAAATTGCTATTTATTTTCGTAACACGATTTAAAAATCTATTTTTTTTTCTTTTTTTGCTAATTTAAGATAAACCGTATCGTAAAAAAGGTATGATTGTTTTATTTAATATAATATTTAATAAAAGTTGTATGAAGGATTATAAATAAAATTATTTATGAAAATGAAACCACTTATTTATTCCAATCATTTTTAAAGACTATGGCAAGAAGAAAGAAAAAAAATAAGTATTGCACTAACGAAGAGTGTCGGAAAAATCTTTATGGCCAAGGAGATTGTAAAGACACATCTGTTATTGGAATAAAAAAATATCACCGTGTTTTTGGAAAATGGAAATGTAATAGATGTAGAAAGCAATGGATTAGTGGCTATATTTGGATTCTACTCCAAAAATTTAATAATAACATTCCCGCATCAGAATTAAACTATGAAGATTACTATCAGCAAGAATGTAAAAAATGCCATAGTGAAATTAATGAATTAATTGAATGGCGGCCTCTTGAAATAACAAAGAAAGTAAGTAAACGACCACATGAGGAAGAATTATGTGCCAAGTGTCAAATTGGAATAAAATGTCAAGAAGCAAATGACTATAGATCATTTTTTTATTAAGTAATTATTAAAGTTTTTTTTGATGTTTTAATAAATTAAAGAAGCAAATTTATTCTAATAATTTAAAACATTAGTTATTTCTACCGAGCCTGACTTGCTTAATTCTTAACAGAATTGGTAAAATTAAAAGTTTTCATTTTTGCTTGTTATCATAAAATAAATTAGTTATCATTAACCATATTAAATTTATTCTTGATTTATTCTCTGAAGGGTGGTTTACATAATTAATAGTTATTTAAAACAAGCATTCTACTAGCGAAAAATATTACAGTACATTCACTACAATATATAATGAAATTAGTGCTTGAGTTCGGATATTTGAATAGAAACATATTATTTTTTATATTTGTCAGTCCGGATTTGTATAATAGACCTTATCAAAGACAAGATCGGTCATTAATTCTGTTCTCGCTCCTGGGTAATAAAAACGCGCATTTACATTACTTATACAGGTATTATGGTCGTTGCATAGGGAAGTATATTTTGCACCATTTGAGATATTTTTATATTCCAAGTGCAAGTTATCCATCTTTAGTACCCGGATATTTTACATTCCAAGTGCAAGTTATTTATCTTTAGTACCCCGTGTAGAATACATTCTGGGCTCTGAAAATGCGGGTTATTATAATAGGGGTCTTTTAGACCACGCTATACGGTAATTGTACATATGTGAACCGTGTACATTTTCTATATATACCTGAAGTGATTCGTATTCCATCAACCAGGATGCTGGGAATCTATCACCAATCTTTTGAAAATTATCCAATCTATTAAAGGAATCCATTCTATGCGTCCTCGTAAATAATAGCATTAAGTTGAAATTATTTAATACAATTATTAACATCCTTATTTCCATTTGTTCATCCTTGTGTTGCTTTCTGAGGGTCACATGTCTGACACAAAGTGCAAAATGTGTTATATCGGTTGCATTCTCTCTTTCATAATTGATTCTATCAGTCATATTTTAAGGTGTAGACAATTAATGTTAGCGTTTTAGGTTCACGTAGATATTAAACTGTTAAAAATGAGCTATATCAGTTACAAACCAGTTAGCTTGATAACCGATTTTAACCATCACGAAGTTGTTTTTTTATAAAATCTACATAGATCTACAACTTTCTATATAAAAATTAGATATATTAATTTTATATATTATTTAATATAGAATTTATATAAAAGTTATGTAAAGTAAACATGTTTAAAACCAAAAATATATCTATTTATTTGGTTTAAATATCAGACCCGAACTAAATTTAAAAACACTAGCTATTTTATAACGGAATCACTAATAAAATATCAATATATATATATATGTAGAAAAATTTTAAAAAAATTTTACAATATCTGCCTTTTTTAGAAGATAAGCTCTTGCGTATAAACTAAATTACAATACAAGAAAATTCTATTTAAAAATAAATTTTATCAAAATTTTAGTTTAAACCAAATTCTGAACATAGTATCTCTTATTGCAATTACTGCCTCTTTTAGTATATCTGTGTATTGCTAGTCTTATGCATACTTATATTTTCTTATTTTTTTTTTAAATTATAACTTCTAAAAATTTACTTTTATGGGCATATTAGCCATGCATACGTACGTACGTACGTACAGTACATACATACATCATGGTGTGAATAACAAATACGGTAATTTATGGTAATACAGAGAAAAAAACTTATAAGTAGCGCTTGATGCGGAGTTGTGTCTTTTCTGTGAGGTGCTCACAGCCAAGACAAAATGTCAATAAAAGGCCCAAGTAAACCGATATCGCTAGTGCCCATACTTCCTTTTCATCATCGTCCAATAACTTGTTTAAAAATTGAATTGCCTCCAATGCCTCATATAAATATAATACCTAAATTTCCTCCAACAATCGACTTTAATCTTCTTATCTCTAGAAAACCTGATGGAAGTCTTCCCCCCTAGAGCACCCAATGCAATTGTCATTCATAGAAGAGCTTTTATTGAAGAAGCTCGCAAGAAAGGATATAATTTGCCAATGACTTATATATCCAGTGCGGCATCACAAAGTTGGGAATCTGCTGACGAAATTGTCAAAAATGAGTACCGCCGAATTGCTAAATAAGCTCGAGAAACTTTGCAGCGGGTTCGTAAAGAGTAATCTAGGTATTTGTTCAGTTAATTACCTGAGTCAATTATAAGTATTTTACTACTTATTAATACGCTATTCTGATATTAATTAGACCAAATTCCGGCGAAATAAAAAAAAGAAAAGATAGATTGAGCATCGATAGCTTTCAGTAAATTATGAATTATATTTGTTCTGCATATGCTCTGATTTCTGGAATATTAATAATTTGACACATTTTTTAAACTTAAATAACTTTTTATCTACCGGTCCGTTTTGGATGAAACAACTTAATGAGACAAATCTAACAAGCCCCAAAACATCAAAAACTAATCACCGAATTCAGAGACGTCAAGTTTTTTGCAGAGATGACGCACCTATAGAGTGGGAAATTGGTTAGACCACGTCTAGTCAATTTCCCACCCACCCTATAGATGCGTTACCTTGCAAAAAAACTTACCGTCTCTGGATTCAGTGATTAGATTTTAATGTTTTGGGGCTTGTTAGATTCGTCTCATTAAGACGAACGTTTTGGTAGTTGTTTCATCCAAAACGGACCGGTAGATAAAAGGTTATGTAAGTTTAAAAAATGTGTCAAATTATTAATATTTTAGTACAATTCCAAAAATCAGAGCATATGGTTCACTTAAACACCTGGGTTAACGCTAAGCATTTTACTGCTTATCAATACATATTTTAATCCCATTTAGACCAAATCAGATCATTGACATAGAAAAACGTATTAGCGAATTAACTAATGAAGAAACCGTTAAGCAGGCTGAAAAGTTGATTTCCATTGGGGTTCAGTATATGAACGGAATTGGACTTGCAAAAGATGAAAAAAGGCGTTCAAGTATTTCATGAAATCTGCAGATTTGAAACACGCTGATGGAACTTATATGGTTGGATATTGTTACCAACATGGAGCTGGAGTTGTCAGGGATGAGCGTAAAGCTTTTGAATATTATTTAAATGCTTCTGAATTAGGTCACACTAAAGGAGCATTTAATGTTGGTTACTGTTATAGGCATGGGATTGGAATAGAGAAAGATGAAATTCAAGCTTTAGAATATTATAAAAAAATGAGAGGTAAATTATTACAAATTCCTTACAACAAGTTTAAAAACGTTAAAAAGATAGGTCAAGGTGGATTTTCAGTTGTTTATCAAGCAATATGGGAAAACCAAAACGTTGCTCTTAAATCATTTTCAAAAAAAAATGAAGATTTCACAAATGAAGTAAATATCAATCTCTTGTTTTTATTTTATTTTTTTTATGCGCACCTGAACTGACCAATCAGAATGTAAGATCAGTTGTAACGTGAATCGAAAGAAATATATAGCGATAGTTCCTACCCGAACCCTAACCCTAAACTAACGAGCTTTTACTCATTGTTTTAATTTTACGTTACACCTGATCTTTTAAGGTGCGTTACAAGTACTTTTAAATTTTTATTTTCTTTTATTTATTTTTATTAATCGATATTAACCATTAATTTTTGTCAATTAGTTAATAGCTTATTACATTTCAAATGTTAATTTAAAATGTTATGGAATATCCAAAGATGACTTAGGAAATGACATTCTTGTCTTGAAATTGGCAGAAATGGGTTCTTTAAGTAAAAATATTTCTACTGTATCGAAAATGAAATGGGAAAATAAGCTAAATTTATTACACAATATTACTTCCGATCTCGAAGCACTTCATTATGAAAATTTTATTCATCGTGATTTGCATAGTGGCAATATATTGCAAGACACACTTGATAATGGATACATTGCAGATTTAGGATTTTCAACTTCATCTAACAAGAAACTTGAAACTGATATTTATGGATCCATGCCGTACGTTGCACCCGAAGTCTTACAAAGAAAACCATACACACAAGCGTCAGATATATACAGCCTTGGTATTATAATGACAGAAATATCAACCGGAAAAAAAGCGTTTGATGGATACAATTTTGACTCCGACCTTGCGCTGAAGATTTGCTATGGGTTGAGACCAAAACTTGCTCCAGAAACACCTAAATGCTATGTAGAATTAGCCGAGCTATGTATGGATTCAGATCCTCAGAAACGACCAGAAGCTAATGAAATTAATTTCAAAATTAAAAATTGGATAGCTCAAATAAATTCTCAAGATAATAACGAAATTCTGATATGTTAAATGAGTTATCTTCTATTATCAATCCCTTAAATCATTCTAATGAAACACACGCAAGTAATTTCATTAATACAACCAAAATATTAAATACAGTTTTAGTCTCTAAATTAATCGATTTTGAAATCCCTAATGCTTGATTTCTATGTAAAAGTTTTTATGTTCGGTAGGGATTCTTTGCTCTACCTACATATTCTAAATACTTTAAATTTTGATGTATTTTATTTTATTTTATTTATTTTATTTTTATTTTTATTTTATTTATTTTTATTTTATTTATTTTTATTTTATTTTTTTTATTTTATTTATTTTTATTTTATTTTATTTTATTTTATTTTAGATATTATTGAAGATATTAACAATAAAAAATAGATAAAATTCTAAAAAAATAATAAACTATTAAAATTTCATATATTCATCTATAAAGTTTTATATTAATAATTTACACGGGATAAATCCACGTTGATAGATTATTTTAGTAAACTGAGAGGGATATGTAAAATCCCATATGTGTATGATATATATGTAAAATCCGAGGTATATATGACGAAACCCGCTACAAAATAAAAGCTGCACCAAATTTTTCTCCAATCACTTGATAAAATTTTATGAAAATTTTTATTTATTTCATAGAACCCAAATTAAAAAAAAGATTTCATCAAATTTGGTCAAGCATTTGTCAGGAAAACTTCACTCGAGGTTTTAGAAAAAATCAGAACATCTATTAAAATAAAAGCTGTATCAAATTTTTCTAAAATTTTAGCGTCTTATTAACAATCTAACCAAATTTGGTAAAATTAATTCAATAGATTTATAGCGTATGGGCGGATTGCGCTCATTTTGTGATATCTAAAAATGACCACATTAAAATAAGTGATGTGATAATATTTATTAATTTCAGCTTATAAATTAATTAAATTAAAATAAATCTTATTATAACGTAATCATATTTAGATATTACAAAATGAGCGCAATCCGCCCATATGAGAATAAAGAAAATTTTCATTGAATTTAATCAGGCGATTGTTGAGATATCTTTGCCTAAATTTTAAAAAATCAAAAAACAAAATTGGATCAAACTTTTTTCTAAAATTTTGACTTCATACCGTTCTGTCTGACTTTCTAGATAATCATCTGAACCAAACCTAGTACACATTTTCTAGATGCTTCAATTGTAATCCTATTAAAAATTCTAATTGTTTAGTTAAAGTTTTTAAAAGTACAAAAAATTAAAATTTTGGGCCTAATATATGAAAGAAAGTGGTGTTTATTATATTAATTTTTTTAAATCACATGTATTAAATTTTTTTTTTAGATTATAATTTACTGACTTTTTATTTTGATAATAGTGCTTCTATAGCAGAAATTACAGAGTAGCTCATCTTTAGTACTCAAAAAATTATATGATTTATCTTTATCATTATCAAATTCATTATCTCAGATGTTTACATTTACTAACTTTTATAATCTTTAGTTTTTGGCTTTATTCTATAATTCTTTAAATAAATTCCTAATATTTAACATTTAGAATAGCAGTGGCCAGTCAAATTTTCTTTATTAATATATATTCTAATATTCATTTAAGCCAAAAAGCACAAATTTATATTACTATTATTAAAATTTTTAAAATTTGTTATTTTTATTATTATAAAAAACTATTTGTATGGTTTATTGACTAATAATGACTGATAATTGTATAATCTTTAAATTTATTACATTTATTACATTATCCGGTACTGTAGTACATTCTCTATTAAAACGCGTAGTATAAAAATTTATCGTAATGTGCATTAGTAAAATAAGTCTAGTTAACTCTAACCTTAACCCTCGGTGAAACCTTTTATTTCCTGTCTTTTTTTTTTTTTGTAAATTTTTTTTTTTTTTTTGTATCAGCTTTAAACTTTGTTTTGTATCAGTTAATAATATTATTTAAAGGGTTATATTTATTGGATACCGACATTGGAATTTGTTGTTTTTTTTCAAATTTTACTAAAAGAGAAATATTTCCCTAGAGATGATAAATCAGATAAGGTTTATTAATGCAGTTCTTTTCTGTTTTTTTTTTTTATATAGCTTCTTTTTAAAATATTATTAGTAGAACCAAATAAGTTTATTTCCAGAACTTTAAATTTAGTGTTTGTGTAGCAATGTCTTGTGTGATAGCTTTAGTTCGAAAAATTATAAAAGCATATTCGAGGCGTGAAAATTCACGGTTCGGGGCAACTTTGACTAATGTTAGTCGAAATACCCTATTTCGTCAAATATTTAGACAATTTTGTGTCGAAATATATTTCAACATGACATTATTTTTTGTTGAAAAATGTCAAATTCTAAATTTGAAGAAATGTCTAAATAGTTGACTAAGGGCGTTCTCAAGCGCCTCAATTAATGGGTCAAAGTATGTCGAAAATACTTCGAGAATTAAATTTTAATTAATGAAAGTATTTTTAATCGATCAACCGAGCTTGTCATTAAGATAAGTAAGGTGTTTATTACATGAAAGAAAATTTTAAATAGTAAAAAATGAACAGTGTGTTTACTATTTCAGTTAAAAAACTTTTTGTCCTGAAACACCTTTTTTTTTTGCACTGATCCAGCATTGAACAAATTACATGTTTTATTAATCTACAAGTAAAAATAGCATTCGATCAAAAGACCATATGAGGGAAAACCTGTCATCGGGCTTTCAATTATATTTTGTACCGGACATATTCCCTAAGAAATTAAATAGATTTTGTCCGGTACAAAATATAATTGAAAGCCCGATGACAGGTTTTCCCTTGGCGGCACTCATATATAGACTTTAACATGACGTATAAAATTCCAATTCTTTGTTTCAGCAATATCAATCGTGAAAATAGCTTTTCACAGGTCTGCTAATTAATCATAGAAATTTTGTGGATAGAATTCTGCATTAGATTTATTTGAAAAGTTATAGTATGGGATAACCTACCACTCAGAAATACTCAAGAATATTTTGTTCAAAATTGTTCTTGTTTCAGGAATCATTTAAACAAAAATTATGTGATGTTGCTATTAAATTAAGTACAGGATATTAAACAAAGAAATAGAACTTAGCGCGCGTAGACTCGGTTAATATAATTTAAGTAATGATACACAGATATTAAAGCAAAAATTTTACGCATCATTACAAAAATGCTGTGCTTTAATAAATGGACAAATGAGTTGAAATTGTCGAAAATTAAATTTTAATTATTGGAAAGTGTTTTTAACAGATTAAGCGTGCTTGTATTAAGATGAATAAGGTATGAAAAATACATTGTTCATTAAATTGAAGAAAACATTTTAGATAGTGAAAAATATTCAGCGAGCTTATCATTATGGGCAACAAAATTTTTGCCTCAAATCATCTTTTTCTTTACGCTGGCTTATCAATAGAGTTATTGTTCAAGCAGTTCATTTTTTTTAAAAATCAAATTGTAAGGTCCATCAGTTATATATTTAAGCTACTGTTGATTAATTCATGCTATCTTCCAAATTATTGGAGATTTTGGAGATTTTGTAGATTTTAAGAATTTTTACCAATTTCAAATAAATATAAATATGACCGATCGAAAATATGAATTAATAGACAATTTAGAATCTCAAAAATTTTCCTCGTTCAACATCACAAAAATCATGGAGTCACATCTTTTAGTAAAGCGCTATAATCGATATGGGTATGATTATTGATAAAAATCTAATGATTTTAATCGATATAATCAGGCTCAAATTTTCTTGGTGAATACATCCAAAATTTTAGTTTTTCCATTTAAAATAGTTTCATGAACGTCTATAGCCGATGATTGTTTTTCCGAATTTTATCCCAACAATTCTTTAAAAGTTTAGCATAACTTCTTGTATTTCAAAAATATTCGGTCTATTTAAAAATTTCTTTAAGCTTTAGTCACTTATAATCAGAAAATATTACATTTCTTGAAGAAATTACCCATGTCTTGCAGAAATTTTCGGAGAAATGTTCGATAAAACTCTGATTCTCTAATGTTTTATTATCGATGTTGTAAGTCCTAAATTTCTGGTTCGATGTAAATCATTCCGAAATAAATTACTTCCATGTAAGATTCTTATGTAAAGATCCCATTAGCAAGCATTGCATTACTGATATATATCTTCTACGCCTTCATCTTTACGTGACTTTGTAATTTTGGTTTCATGAATGTCATTGTTTCATCTTATATAGTACTCGCGTCATCTGATAAAATACTATGAAATTAGCATGACTATGCTCATGACATTTCTGTAGCAGAATTCAAAATTAAATTGTCCTCTTTGAACTGGCATTTCAGTAGCATTAATTATTTTATTGTCTTTCTTTTGTAAAATGTTTAAATATGAATTATTTCAATGATACAACTCATTCAATAGGGTTTCAAAATTAAATAAATTTTTTTTATTTTCCAGCTTATAATTAACATAGCAAAATACTATTTGAAAATCCTATTAATTTTATTAATTTTTGTAATCTCCAAATACTGTAATTTTGGTATATTTTAGTTAAAGCTAATCAGATAAATAATAAATTCAGGTAGGTGTCTTCACACACATATACATGTACATCATATACGTATTATATCCGAATAAAATTTTGATTTATCACGATAAAAATAAGAATCTGGATTTAACATCATCTTTTCAAGATGAGTACCAGTTATCACCGGATATTTCTGGAGTTTACAATTCGGATCTAAGCACTGTTTTTTATTTAACGTATATAAGTTACAAGTAACAGTAAAGTTTAATTCAAAATAGTCTATTTACATCATCGATATCATTATGATTACGTATAATTCTTTTAGAGAAGTTTATTTCTGATCAAATATTAAAATTAAAATTTTAATTAAATATTTAATATATGAGTGCTGCCAAATTTTTAGCCTTATAATTTTCTTGTTTATCAAAAAGAAAATTCTTGTCAAAGACTTACGTAAAAAATATAAAACTTCAAGCGAAATTTAAGGTTGCAAAAATTAATTGAGTGAAGCATTATGTGGAAAAAATTTTTAATATACAACATTTAACTGAAATGTTAAAAGAACATTCAATTGATGAAATTTCTATATCACAAATTAGATCAATTTTGTAATTGCTAAAATTACAAAAATCAAAAACATCACTTTTCTGTACTGACAATTATAATAACAATAGTAGTTGAATAAGCTGTTAAGATGGATCGCAAATCTATAGCCATGAAAAGATTTTAGGCTATACAGTTGGAAAACCTTTTAAGAAGAAATCAAATTACTAATTTAGAAAACCAATTTCTAAAATTTAAAAGAAAGAAATTAATGCTTCAAAATTATAAGGTCGAAATAATTATTTCCCTGCATCTTGAAAAACAAAAGTAATATATTATTCAGAAGCTTTCTTATACACAATAGAAAATTTATTGTAGAATTTTCTTATAATGCTTCCATGGCTCAATCTCGAGAATAGCGTAGCGTTGTCGGCAAGTTCAAATTTCAAACAAGAATGAGAGAAAATCAAAAAACAATTGACATAATCACTATTGTTACAGTCATACAGCTAGCTATATTAGCTGTTGGTTCATATAATCCTGTGATCTTGGAAGCATACCATCAAAAAATCATCTAAAAAATCAAGCTTTGGGCCAAGACCTTGTCTACGGTGGATTCCTTTCATCATTCAGAGTTTTTCTATATAGGAACTACAGTCCGATTTTCTGTGATCATGGGCGTTTTCAAATGTCTCAGTTAATGAGTCAATGTCGAAAATGTGTTGGGAATTAAAATTTTAATTTACAGAAAATATTTTTAATTAATCAATCAAGCTTGTCATTAAGATAAGTAAGGTAGTTTATTATGTGAAAGAAAAAATTTTAATTAGTAAAAAGTAACCCAGTAAGTTTACTATTTCAGTCAAAAACTTTTTTTCCCAAATCTTTTTTTTTTTTTTTGCGCTGACTTATCAAACCTTTTTAAATATTAAAGTGATCAAGTGTTTTCATACTTTTTATTATGGATTCTCATTACACACATTTTTTGTAAAATTTTCAATAAGCTATTTAGAATCTCAGTGATTGAGATCTCGATTTTGATTTATCATCGCAACTACAACTATTACTATAATAGTAATGTTTGAGATATCTTAATAATATCATCATTTGTATTATTGACTTTTATCCAAAATGTTGTGACAATAGCTAAAATTACGGTATAATACTTGTATACTATTTCGATCACTATGAAATCGCAATTTGCATTTTTTCCAGTCGAAATTGAATGGAACAGATTTGAGTTGTAGCAGGAGCTGCAAAATTTAATCAGAGCTTTCTTGGCACATGATGTTAAAAAAGGAATTTGCTTTTGGAGGTTTTGAATTTACTGTATAAAACTAAATTTCCCTAACAAAATAACAAGTTTCAATTACTTGATTTTTATTAAAAGTAAATATTCAATAGGTTTTAACTTGGTGTCACTCATATTTACCACAAGTAAATTAGTAAATTTTTATTAAACAGAACAGATACATGAGATTATACTATACATTAATTATAATTATTTATTCTCAATATTATAATTAACAACTCTTTATAAGATTATAAAAGGTTTGGAAATTCTGAACTCGGATCCTCGAATGGCACAAAGTTTTCAAATGAGAAAGTTTAGTTGTTATTAAATAAATCTATCGAAGCAACTATTTTACAATTATTTATGATAATTATATATATTTAATTTAATGTTATAGATATGCTTTATTTTAGTGTTATTAGGGGTTAAAGTTATAAATAGATTTTAATAGATTTATATTTACAAATAGAGATCTCAAATTTTAGTATTACTCACGACACATTAAAAGAATTCTTTCTTCATGATAATTGTTCATGATTACTTAATGCAAATGTATTATATTATTTAATTCTTATTATGATAATTTTTACAATTTGTTTACTAATAAATCCTCAAGTAAGCCATCATATTTTGACACATATCCCTTATTTTGACAATTTATTTAAATTTGCAAATGATTCTTCGTATAGCGATTCTTCATATCTGTCTAACATATGGAGACCTCCACAGCAAAAGGTGGCAATGGGCCAAAATTTTTTTTTCTGTAATTTTGTAAAAATTATATGCCTATTACTCTAATTCTTCGAGAAATTGCATTTTTAAGAAAAAAATTTTTTTGGTTCATTGCCACCTTTTGCTACGAAGGTCTCTTGTTTTCGACAGCGTTGACAAATCAGGCAAGTAGACACATACTCTTTCATGTCACTATAAACATTTCTGCATGCCAATTTATACTTTTGAAGTATAGCTCTAATGGTTTTGTATATACCTCTATGGCCTTCTTCTTCCAAAATATCTTCATGACTAGCAGCTAAAATCAAATTTTTTTCTCTATTATCATATATAACTCATCATGGAGGAAAATTCCTTTTTTTTCTTTTAAATAACGCATTATCGATTAAACAAAACCTCTTTATCTTCTTTTGTAATCATGGTAAGTCTTTGGATTGGATTGTCCTTTTCCAGCGAAAGTTCTTCAGATAATATTTGACTTTCACCAAATCTTTCATGACTAGATTTGCCATATCCACTCACCTCAATAAACTATTCATCGGTAACTTTTTCACCATTAATTTCTTCAGGGCGTCTCAACAAACCATTAGCATTCCCGTGCTTATGACCAGGTCTGTAATGTATCCTAAATTCAAAAGCCTGTAGAGCTAGAACCCACCTCATTGAATGTCCCTTCAACTCAACTTTATTAAAAAGCCACTTAAGGGCTTAATTATCAGTCCAAACATCAAATACTGTACCTCCAACATATTTTTCATTTACTTTACAACCATATACCACAGCCAAATACTCTTTTTCTGTCACAGTATAATTGACTTCATGGTTGTTTAATTTTCATGAATCGAAACTAACTGGCCTCATATTTTCTTCATCATCTAATTGTTCGAGTACCATGCCAACAGAATCATTGCTGGCATTAGTATAAATCTGGTAGAGACTTAACCCTTCTTTTGCCTTTTGCCAATTTGGACCTTTTAAAATTGTTTCTTGAGTAATTATTTTCTTAAGTTTCTTGAAGGCAAATTCTTGTTTATTACCCTATTGAAACTTCATCTCTTTTTTTGTTAGCTTAGTTAATGGCACTGCTACTTGACTGGAATTTTTTATGAATCTTCGATAATAATTCATGACTCCTAGAAACGATCATGTTTCAGTTTCATTCATAGATCTGACCTATTCTATTATTTTATTTATTCTTTTGGTATCTACGCGTATACCATTTTTACTAACCACTAGTACGTCTCGCTCGCATTCTTCTACCCTATACACATTACTGTGTATTTCAATACTTCTAGAGTTGTCAATACTGCGACCATGTCACGATCTTTTTCTTTGATCTTTATTTGCAAATAACCCTTAAAAGCATTTATAGTGCTATACTACTCATGCTCCACCGCTTTTTCAAGTATATCCCTAATCAAGGAAAGTGGGTAACTATCTTTGACTATGAATTTATTAAGTGGTTTCATGTTTCCTACAGCGCGTATTTTGCCAGTTCCACCCTCTTTCTTGTCAACTGGAAAGCAATAATAGGTGTATTCGCCTATTCTTTTTTCAAGTAGGCCCATTTAATTATTTCTTTCAAATGATCTTTGAACGCCTGAGCCTTCTCTGGATTATTTATCTTTATAGGCCATAAACATAAGGGTGGAACTTTTATATCACCTGTCTTTACTTCATACTCTACTAAATTCATTTCCCCTATCTCAGACAGGTTAAAAGCAAAAACCTCAGATACTTCATCAATTAATCGTTGCTTCAAAGTCTCTTTTTGCGTATTAGAAACATGTGGTCCCACGTTGATATCAGCCCAATTTTTTTTAGTTATTCTCATAATGACTGTCATATCCAACTCTTCAATTGTTCTACCATCTCTTTCTTTATCTAAATCCCAATATACTACCTGCCCTTTGTAATATTTATTTACCAAATTTTGGTCATCTACAAGTAGGATTTCTCTGATTTCTACTTTATTCTTGTTAACAGCTCTTTCTAGCATATTACTTACACCTGATTTCTCAATCTCTACTTTATCTAACTTTCTCACCATAAATATGTCTCCTTCATCACTTAACTCATCATCATTGTTATCGACCAAGCTTTCATCACTTATATGCCAAAACCAATCTTTTGGTACAACAGATACAATAAACGAAAATTCTTTGTTCAGGGCCGAAATGGTATACCAGTATTGGTTGTCACGCCATCTTAGTTCACAACGGGCTTTCGCAATCCAAGGCATGCCTAAAAGTACGTCAAAACTTGCACTTTCTATTACATAAAATTTCTCACTAACTATTACTCTCTCCATTTCAACCTCAAGTCTAGGTATATATCTAATAAATTTACTTACTTGGTTGTTAGCCATTCTTCCTCTTCCTTCTACTTCCCACCATTAAAAGCCTCTTTTCTTCATATAATCTATGTATATTAAATTTAATCGAGACCCTGGGTCTATAGGAACTTTAACCTTGTCACTATTAATAAAGGCACTTTGTACAGATACTATTTCTTTATGATTTTGTTTAATCTTTTCTTTTACCGCTTTAACAAGACTAATTTGTGTATCCATTTGTATTACATCACACTCCTTTTTGTGATGTGTCAAAGACTTCAAGACTTCTAATCTTGCTTTTGGAGACCACTTAAATAATTGTTCTAACGTTATAGTCATCTCAAGTTCGGAAACCTTTTGCAGTACATCAAGTTCCTGCACCAATTCGGCTATTGGGATGTATAATATTGTTTTCTTATCTTGAGATTGCAGTTCTATTGTTGTTTCATTTTTACTAGCTGTCTTTCCCTTTTTATTGAGAATATCTCTTACTTCAGCATAGTGCCGCTTACCCAAGGCCCTTATATTAAATATTTCATTGTCCGAGTCAATTTCTATTTTCAAACAATCTTCAACAACCAAATTTTTTTCTTTTACAACCTTTCTCACAGACTGATGTTCTTGATTGTTTATGAACTCAAAAAAATGCATGTCAGTCCATTTTATCATTTGTTCTGATTCCTTCTCTTTACTTGTTTCACCCTTTACTTGTTGCTTATTAGGATAATTGTGAGAAATATAACCTATTTTTTGACACATAAAACACCTATGAGGTTCAGAATTTCTCCACGACTTTAGGCTCCTTGTAACATCATTCACAGTCTTGGTAAGTTCATTCACCATTTTCTTAACTTCTAATTCATTTGAAAAACAATCCATCATGCATCGTAACTTGAGATTTTTGAATGCTTTTGTTAATTGGGTTACCTCAACATCTTCCTTATCAGGTTGAAGTGTTTCTTGTATAAGTGCCTTATTAGCTTTCTTCACGTCATGTTCAATATTCTTTTTATACATTTCAATGTTCTGAGCAATTTTCTTTGTCTTTGCATATGTCTCTGGATACTTTTCCTCTACCTTATCTTTAAGTATTCCCTTGAGCCCAGCGATATACCGATATCTCTTTTCTTTTTCTCGAATTTCTGCTTTTATAAGTTTAGCATAAGCTTCGAATTGATTAGTATAGCTATTTATTGATTCATTTTTCATTTGTTTAATGTTCATTAACCTATCTATCTTTTCTTCAATATTATATGAGGCAGATGCTTCATCAACGACACTTTTTCTTAAATCAGTCCAAGTGGTCTTAGTCTTGATCAAGCCTCTTATCCACAGCCTTAAATGATCATCTACAAATAGACCTAGTACTTGTTGCTTACGGGTATCATTCCAGTCTTTTGATGTAGCATAAGCTTCGAAATTGAGCAAAAACTCTTCGATATCTTCACTTTTTTCACTACAATAGAAAGGTTTAATTTTATCTGTAGTCATCTGTTTCATATTTATTATTGATTAACACTATTACACTAATCGATTTTCTCAAATATCCTTCTGACATTGGGCGAGAGACTAAGTAATTTACCCAGGTCCTTCTGTCAAGTAGCTTTCTAAACTACTGTGTATTGGTGAGCATTACATTTCAGGACTCTATTTTGGCTTTGCACAGCCCTATTTAATACTACACTAATATTCTCCATGATATCTTTTATAGGTTTTATAATTTCTTTGACCCACTTTTCTAATGCAGCTTTTACTCCACACATTTTATTATCCGAATGTCTATTATCTATCTCTATTATTCCATCGGTATTGTTGTTTAATATTCCAACAGCCTTTTTCTTATAGTATTCTATTTCCTTTATATCTTTTTCAATTCTTACAGTACACCTTTTTATATCCTTATACGTCTCAGGGCAATTACAATGAACCTTCTTTTTATATTTTTCATCCAGCCCTCTTATGTACATCTCGTTCAATTCGGCCTTTCAATGGACTTGTTCTTTCACTATCGATGTCTGGGCTTCAAATTGGTTCATATAGTATAGTATTGATTCTCCTTTTTCTTGTTTTATATGTGCTAATTTATTCATCTTTATCTTTCTATCTTACGACATCCTCATACACTTGATCATCTTTAACTTCAATTTGGTCCAACTCTTGGTTGTCCATATTAACTCCCTCATCCACAGCCTTAGATGCTCTGAGACGTGGCGGCTAAGCATTATCCATACCAACTTCACTCCATCTTTTAGATATGGTATATGTCTTGAAATCAAATAAATGCTCTCTTCACTGTCATCATAATAATATGGTACTTGAAGATCTGTGCTTTTTATTATATCCTTTTTACTTAAATATATTTTTTATTCGTTTTCTCAACTTTATACTTTTCATGAAGACTTTCGTTTCTTTTATCCTTTAATAATTTATTTCACCAAGTGTTTTCACAAAGATTTTCTTTTCCTGCCATTTAATAATCAACTATATAGTTTGACATTCGATAAGAGTAATGTATTCTACCCAGGTCCTTCTTTGTCACAGGGTAAATTAGAGGTGGGTGTTTCCTCTAAATATCTAAACCAATAGATTAGGGCTTCATTTTTGTAGGCATCAAGGAATGTGTACAATTATTTACTTAGTTGTAACTATCTACTCGCATTTTATTTAGTACTATATTTCACTTAAATTTATTTATTAAATTTTTTTTTTTTTTAATATTGAGGTGACCACTTAGGCCCCTGGCACTTTATTAGTTCAAACGGGTGGGCCATTGTCTGAAGACTGGCTTACATATTACATCAGTATAACGAGAGTACAACTAGTCACACGTACAACTTTTGGTTGCCTAT